TTTCCAACTCTCCAGACTGAAAACATGGCTCTCTGGAGCTCCACAAACAGCGAGATCAGCCAGGACCTGAACTGCTCAGACATTCACCGCCCTTCCAGTGAAATGATACGAGGCTCTGGAGACTCCCATAAGTTTACCCCATACCGACTGTGACACATTTATATCTTTGCTCAGAGTGGCAGTACCCTCTCTTGGCTGCTTCTGGTTACTTTTTCCAAACCCAGGGAAACATTTATCCTGCACACCCAGAGTAACGTCAAACGGCTGTAAAAACCGATGGGTGAAGCAGGTGTAAACACATAAAGATGATAAAAACTTCATCTCATGGTGATTGTGCATGGTACAGCGGGTTCCTTGACTCATTTTGTAAAGCTTTAATTTGAAAAAAAAAACTCCTGGCTTGTCACACAAGTACAGAGCATCTACAGGAACCTGACTGAAAGGAGCACACAGTGTTCATTGCAAAGGCCAATACTAAATCAGTTAATTCAGACTGATGTCTTTATGATTTGCTGGAGTGTGCCATGCAAGCGAGTCTCCCCACACTCGTTGGATAAACAAAATTTCCTCAGCTCAAATAAAATTTGATGAGGAGATAATTTTGCGAGAAGACAGCATAAAGGCCCCTCTCTTGTGCACGAGCGCCGGGCAAAAAAAAAAAAAACCGCAAAGTTGACAAGGTGGTTCAAAAACCCACGGACAAGATGGCAGAGAGAGATACGACGGGTCTGCTGCTGCAGCATAAACCCTAAAAACAGCTGCAGGATGCAGTGAATCAATCAGGAGGAGAAGCATTCAAGTCATATCTGTCTCCTCGTTCTCTTATTAACATGTCAAACATTTGATATATGGTACGATAAGTTCAATCATAATGTTAATGGAAATGCTGTACATTTTTTTAAAGCATTCAATTGGCTTTTGGATCTGCTGTGACTCTGTTTTACTCCATTATAGTTTTCATATGCTGCAGCAAGAGAAACGATGTTTCTCTGCACATCCACTTATGATGCAGATTATAGCAGCATCATCAGTATAGATGGGCCAACATCAAACACAATATAAGGAAAGAAGCTACCTATTCAAAAAAACAATTAAAACAACTTAAATATATTTATTATGAACCACTAAATCAAAAAATGAATTCAAGTGAGTTTAAAACTGACAAAACGTGATTGATTGAACGACCCGCTGGTGGATATTTCACTCCAACTGTTTGGCAGCAGCAGCAGATAAAAGTCTGTTACAAATCGTAACACATTTTTCATACCTTGAAAATCCTGGGAACTGTTATGTATGAGCAAAGCATCAGTCAAAGTCAGAAGAGCAGTAAAGGATTGTGTTTCTTGGATGCAGCTTTGACAGTCGTTTAGTTGCAAGTGTACCAAAGAAGCGGGAAAACAAATGTCACTTTCCCTCACTCTTTCAGGCCTGGAGGAGCAATGAGTTCCCAAGCAGTCTATGCACCACTTCTGAGTTAGATATGAAGAATTGGGGACAAAGAAAATATTGTCCGAATACTTCCACTTTTTGAATGATTGCAGTTTTTGTCTGTCAGAAGCTGCAGATAAAACACAAAACACAGAGACAAAGTAGTTCTGAAATAATTCAGAACCTGCGACATTCTTTACTGGAATTTGACTTCTTTTCAGCCAAACAGCAGGTTTTATTTTTATATGATATCAGATTTTTCTTTGAAGTCAGAATCCCTAAATGCCAACACATGAATCCAGTTTTTTGTGTGTTTTTCCATCAGCACTGAGCTAACAATGGCTCGGCTGCCCCGCTCCTCCTCTCAGACACTTACACAATCCCACATATGACAGCAGCTGGTGTTTACCCCTCTGACGTGCGGCCCCTTGCATCCTGTCTGTGGCAGCATCTCACCATTGTTCTGCTTCTGTGTACCTGAGATCATACAACCACTCCTTCCACCGCTGGACGCAGTGAAACGGATCCCGTCCTTCGTGTCTTTTGTTTGGTTATCACAAACAGTCTGATTTAAGTGGATGGAAAAAGAGAACACAAAGAAGAAGCTGCATAAAGAGAAACCCACGCACCAGACCGAGATGTTTAGATTGTTTTTAGCAAACTCTTGATTGTGACGGGAGGACACGTTTGGGAGCGCCGCCTCAGCTGATGTCACTCTGAGGGAAGATCTTTGAAGAGGATGGGGGCAGAGGGACATCCAGGCAGCACAATGCACCACCGCATTGAGTCGTGCAACTTTCACAATGCTAGAGTGTGCTAAGCATGACCTGAGGCTCCTGATGAAAGGCCTCAGCAAAGTGTGGGCGCAGTCAGGAATGGGCAAACAAATGATTTCGATTTTTATCTTGAAATGTGAAGGAGTGGGCTGCTTGTATCCTGCGTTTACTGTACAAATTTGCCATATTTATCAAATGTTGGAGAGAAATCTCTAAGGACTGAGAAAAAGAGCGATACTGCCCTCTAGTGACTGCAGCGCTTACAACACAAAGTCATTTTTGGGTTCAGAGTTACAGACAATTTAAAGACTTCTAAAAATGATAACTTGAACTTTTTGACACAGTCAAAAAATTTTCTTAGAAAAACTAAAGTCTTACTTATATTTTTAGGTTTTAAACTAAGAAAACCATAAAATTATTCTTCTACAGGATCTTTGTGGAAAATTATGTTGAAACAAAGAAAAACTAATTTGAAAAAAATATACTGCTGGTATTTTTACTGTCATTCTGCTGTAAAAAGTCAATAAAATTACTCAATGAAAATCGGAATAAAAACAGCTAAAGCCAGTACTTATGAATACTTTGAAATCATTAGTCAGTAATTTTAGTCAGTCGTCAAGAAGGAAGGACTAAGCAGTGTCTTCAATATCTGTTCTTACAGATATGACTTGTTTTTATTCTCTTATAAATGTTTGCTGTAAATTACATTACTTTACACTGACATCTGTCATAAATGATGTTATGATTATGTTCTGAATAATGACTGTAATTCTCAGGTGTACAATGAGGCTAAGAACTCAAACATACTGGTAGTGATGGTAATACAACTTGAGACAATGACAACAGACAACTGGATAGACACACAAGGAGCAGGAAAAACAGGTGGGATTAAATACACCAGGAAGGTGATCAGGGGAAACGAAGGACAAAACTCAACACAGAAACCTAAATCCTCACAGCATCCTGCAGCAAAATCTATTTTGTTTTTATGATTACGATTTTTCCACCAACAACCCTGCAAGAATTTTTGGTGGCATGCAGATTGCAGTCAGTCACTCACTAATATCTCTGATTGTGTTTTTTTTTTTTTTTATCATGAATGAAGCACAGAATCTGGTTCCCACATTGCATCACTGAGATAAATTCAGCTCTTTGTATAATCCTCATAATCCCATAAAAGAAGATAATCACTGAATTTACATACCTGAATCACCTTATCTGCTCCTGGAGCGTGTTCATCTTTCCAGGTATTTTGGTTCTTTCTCTGCAGATAAAAGCCGATAGAGGCATGAAACATTTTGCTCCACAGAGAAATTTGACCATCATTTGGACACATCCTAAATAGAATAAAGACGATTGTTTTTAACTTAAAAACTTCAGACAAGGTTCGTAAATTAAAAACATCTGAAAATTTAAATGCACCAGATGCTTTTTGGTACATTTAAGTGTGTTAAAGTGCATGCACCATTGCAGAGGCTGCTGTCCTCATGAGGTTGTTCTGGGTTTGAGTCCCAGTCTTAGGTTGTTTGTTGCATGTCTGTCTCCCTATTTTCTGTCCATCTACTGTTCAGTAAAGGCCAGTAGAGACAAAAAAAAAAATACGTAAAAAGAAAGTGTGCTGCAGTAAAATAATACAAAAACCATTTAGAGACCAGAAAGGAGTTTAAAGAATCTCTAAAGTCCATCAATGAGCAGAAAGACGAGAAAAATGGTCCCATTTTAAAAATAGCCTGCTATTTTAACAAAGTTTAAAGAAGTTCCCAGGATGATTGTTGTCCTATTTAACATAAAAGTAAAAGTCGTTAAGAGACAAGTACTTTGTATAGTTTGCAGTACTTTCTATTTCAAGAAGAAAATCTCATATTCTGGTCGGGAAAATACATTATTCTTAAGTTACTCTGGGCTGATTTAGATCAAGGCTTTTGAGTGGCTTAGTCAAAGTTCAGACCTAAATCTTTGGCAAGTCTGATGGAGTTTGAGCTTTTTAGCAGAGAATGATGGACAATAGAGTCAGACTTTTCACTTGTGCAGATCAAAAAATACTCATTTACTTTACAATTATGTGTCACTTTGTTTTGTGCACACGCATAAAATTGGAATAAGTGCATTAAAGTTTGTGGTTGTGGTTTTGTGGTTGTGCACTTTTAAAAGACGCTGAAAAACAACAAACTGTTGTTTTCATTCCGGCCACCAGAGGGAGACATTTATCTGTTTATGTATGGAAAGCGGTGGCGCGTCGTTTTGGTCTTTCCTCCGCACATCTGAAACGTGTTTCACATTATTACTTATGAATTATATGCTTTTCTTTCATAGAGGAAAGTAAAAGAAGGAGGTTGAAATATAATTTATATCCATTTATTAAAGCCAAGCAGGCTGTTTTCCTGCGGAGAGGATTGCTTCAGATCTGCTGATAGAAGCAGCCTGTTGTGTTTTGTTTTGGTTCGGGAAGGACGAGAAAACATTGCTCTACTTATTTATGTTCAGCAGTTTATAGATCTACACAGAGTTTCATCAAATGTAGAGAAATAACAAGCAGACGAATGAAGGGAAACATGATAACTGAATTTTCTAGTTAGACGGATTGATTTACATAGGTGACCTCACCTATGTAAAAAAAAATAAATGAACAAGCGTGGACCTAAGAGACAGAATGAGTCTGGTTAAAATTAGGACCAGATGTTCACTGGAAACCCGGGGAGGAGGAGGAGGGGGCGGGGCCTTCGCTCTGTGGGAGGAGCTTACACTCTCCTTTGCGTTCAATTTTTATTCTAACAGGTAGTTCAAAACCTAAACTGGTGGAGATCGGCTGCAGCAAGGCGAGAGCTGCGGTTATCCAGCTGAGAGCGGGTCTTTGTGAGAGAGCATGCTGAGCAGGAAGGGCTCCTCCGCGGGCACGGTGGACCGCGGCAGGGTGCGGGAGCGGCTGCAGGCTGCGCTGGCCGGGCTGCAGGAGCTGCGGCTGCTCCGGGACCGGCACGGAGACATGGTGAGCTGGGCCCTGCAGCTGGACCGGGAGGAGCCGGTCAGCGCGCTGTGCGCTGACCCGGTGGAGGCTGAGGAGCAGCGGCTGGAGGCGACCCTGACCGCGCTGAAGCAACAGCTGGTAGGAAGTTCAGCTTCTGTCGGAAAACACTCAAATAAAGAGCTTTGTGTTCTATATAATCTACTGGTCACTAAAAAACAAGGAGAAAGATCCAGGGTAGTTTATTTGTCAGCTGATGCTCATGCGCATTCAGCCTGCAATCATTACCAGGAAGCGTTTCGCTCTCAGCTGGGGGTCGGAAGCAGGATGGATGTCATAAATCAAGGTTCATTGCAGGCCCCCAGAGGACTTTTTAATTGTTGCTTCATGCACGCGCCCTCAGTGCGCGAGGGCAAGCCTCAATCATTAACCACTAAATGCCAGGGAATAAAAACAAACGGATTTTTTCTTTTTTTCTGCCATGAATGAGGGGAGAGTCTCATCCCTCAGAGGCCCCCTGAGCGCCGCAGACAGCTGGCTCTGTTTAGTTTTCCATGACAAGCTTTTTCCACGCAGCCTGCTGGTAAAATCATCCAGGGGAAGTGCAGGGATTAATGTGCTATGCTTGACATCTAGGGTAGAACTGGGCAGATGCATCAAAGGATGTGTCACGGCGTGCACAGGCAACATAAGGTTCAAATTTGTGCAAACTTAATTCCCCCCATCTGCAGATTCAACTGATCCAACCTAATCTGCAGATTAAAAAAACATAAACAAGTAGTGTAAATTACAGGAAGTGAGCCAGAGATGGAGCTTAATGCTCTGCAGTTACAGTTCCTAATCCCAACCCCCAAGCTTTTCCTCTGCTGGTAGTTTACACAATGGCCAGGCCTTCTCTGTGGGGCGGAATGAGTTACCCACCACTGCTTCTTCCAGGCTCCCCCATGTCCTGCTGGGGTTAATCATCAGCCACAGCTGAAGCGCTTTAGTTTCTCCGCAGCGGTACATCAGAGCAGTGGTCCTCCATCTTTTCAGAACATGTAACACCTCAGTCAGTTCCAGGTTTTCCTGGAAGCAGCGCTGACATTTTGAAATCCTATTACAACAGCAGGAGTTGGCACTGCTTGATTGATGAAGGAGGTGGTGTCGTTAAAAGTTGGTTATTTGAGTTTAAAGTTGGAAAATTAACAGAAAGTTCAGAGGAAGTTCCCTTAAAATCCAACATACTCAAAATAAAAACAACTTATTTGCACTTTGGATGGTTTCTATTGTCACTCATTACATTTTCCACAAACACAGTGTTTTAATTTCCTTTAGTGAACCTGTTGCTTCAGTGTTTGAGGCTTTAAAAGTCAGAGAAATGAGCTAATGCTGGTTTAAATCCATAAACAAACTATTATACCAAATTATTGGATATCATGCTATTGCTGTTAACTTTTATATTATGAAAGAAAATAATGACCAAAATGCTAAAATTACACAGCAATTTTTTCAAAAACATATTTTTCATTTATTTTGGTTGTTAAGCTTATTTGGGATGTCATGAGATATTGCAATATCCAAGTTGTTAGTACGAATTTCTATTTGGTGCTCATATAGATCAGGTACAAAATGAACAAAAAATAACCAACATTTATTGTAAAAATTCTTCAGAGTGCCATTAAATCCAGTCCAGTTACCGCGGTGGTACCTGGATATCAGAGCTTCTTTCATCAAAGTAAAAATATTTTTATTCAAAGAAAAAGCTACTGTGTATAATTTCCTGTTTATACTGTACCGTATTAAGAAAACACACAGTTTCAGTCATTGTTTACACGGCGACAGCAAAATTGATTTTAAAAAGGCCCCGTTTCGCCTTCTCTTCCCTTTTTTAGTAAATGTATTACCAGGAATGGAGAGCCTGAGTGCATGGCCCCTGAAATGTCAGACCTTTCCAAATAATGTCCATATTGTGCCTAACATATTGATTTTGTGAGGATGGCTGTGGTTTGATATATTGAGGTTGTTCTGCATAACTTGTAACACAAACTCTTTCTGTTTAGAAAAAATCCTTTGAAAGTCCTGCTGTCTATTTGCTGCATCACTCCTTTTTAGAGGCTTGTTTTAACCTGACAGCTTGGTGCATTTTGTTTTTGTTTTTCAGTCTCGCCTTCGGAAGCAGGATGTTGGCCTGAAGACTCACCTGCAGCAGCTGGACCAGCAGATCAGTGAGTTGAAGTTGGATGTGAGCAAGGCCTCCACTGATCAGCTGGAGAGTGACAGCAGGCCCAGCTCAGGTGTGTAGGCAGACATGTGTGGTTCATGTTTCAGAGTACAACCAGGCGGTCTCACGTACCGGCAGACGGGCCGGTCCCAGTGAGGGATACGGTTTCAAAACTGATTTGTCATCACTTTTTCATAAGTTTAAAATAGAAACCCATGGTGTTACCAGAATTTTCTCCAGCTGTATGGAGAAAATTCTTTACTAAACTGTATCAGTGCTTTGCACCAATTTTATTAAGACATCACTGCTTGGGTAGCTGCCAGCTGTGAAGCAGCAGACTGCAGGCTAGCTGCCTGAGCCGCTAACTCACCCATTAGCCAGCTAACACCATCTTATCTAACTTCTGTTTTTATACAGTGAGCAGAACAAACAATATTCTGTACATTAATCAAATAAAAAATATTAAATGTTTGCTAAATGTTCCAAATAACGTTACTGCACCTCTTATCTTATAATGTTTTTTGCTTTAAAAAAATTTGCTTATTTTCTTACATTTAAAGCAGAAATGGGTGACATCATTTTATTTAATCAACAAAAAAAATCCAATTGCTACTTGAACAATATATGAATGATTACAGTTATGACAATATAATATGTATACTATTTATTAGCACTAATTTGATTTTGATGCACAGACTTAAGGAAAAATATAGAATAAAAGCCAGAGTAGCAGTTTGGCTTGGAATTAAGTAAAAGTGCTTTTTGAATGCTTTTATAGCATAACACTGAGAGGATAACAAGTTTATATTAGCAGATTAATTAGCTTGGTTAGCGAGCCTGCTGTCTGCTGCTTGTTGCCAGGCAGCTGTAGCAGAGATGGATGTTGTGTCTTTAGTTTCCACACATGACTGTTTGTGCTTTTGCGACTGGACTCTGGCACTTTCTCAATGAAAAGTCTTTCAGCCACAGGAGCGGTGTGATGTTGATGCAGTTAGCCGGAACATGCAAATGAACTGACCTGGATCGATTCCTGCTCTTTCCAGGTTTCTATGAGCTCAGCGACGGCGGCTCTTGCTCCCGGTCCAACTCCTGCACATCTGTTTACAGCGAGTGCCTGTCATCCTCCCAGACCAGCCTCATTCCCCTGAGCCCAACCGGTTGCCACGTTAGCCCCCCACCACAGGTTGATGCTTTCCACCGCCGCTCTGTTGATGAGAGCCCTGGCCAGCCCAACCCTCCACGGTCCACCGGCCTCCATCTCGGCAGCAGCAGAATCCGAGCGAGCACCATAGGCACAGATTATCAGACACGGCCGAGGCCGGTGTCAACAGGTAATAACATCTTCATTTTATTTCAGACACCCTCTGCTGTTGTAATGGCTTGTTTTTGCTCTGCAGCTCAACATATATTTTGCTGCCTAATAACACAGTTTCCATGAGTGGAGTCAAAAGTTGATGACTGTTTTTGTCTGCATCAGGAGATCTTGAAAGAATCATGGCTCAAGGATTGGGCTGCTTCAGGTCTGCAGATGCAAAGAAACTCCCAGTGTGTCCGAAACAGAAGATCTCCCCAGTGGATCCCAAATTCCAGCGTAATCTGGAGTCCTGTGGTGGCACTGAAGTTTACCCATACCCCAGTCCCCTGCATGCTGTGGCTCTCCAGAGCCCAATCTTCTTCCAGGGGGGTGAAGACAGAAAACTGGTTCTCCGAGAGGGGCAAGGAGCCTCATCGAATGGCTACGACTCTCTCCAGATGGGTTACAAAAACAAGACCCTGGGCTACATTGACAAGCTCCTCCAGCGCACCTTGAGCAAAAGCCAAATTAATGCAAGTGCAGAGACAGTGGAGATACAAGACAGCAACGAGACAAAGCCAGCTGAAAATATAAATGTGTCTTTTGAAGTGTCTCAAACACATGAGTCCAGTTTAAGTCCTCCTCAAGCTAAAAACCAAAATCTTCCAGTGAACGGTGAGCCGATCAGGAATCGTACTGCATACTCCAACCAACAGCTGAATGATCAGAAGAGCCACGAGTCACTGAGAGGCCCAGGCATTCAATACAGGTATTCCTATCGCGCTGTCATGAAGGAGTACAGCTCTGATGAAGTGTCACACTCAACCCTAAAGAAGAACGACAAACCCACAACAGAAAACTCTGATTTGCCAAGGAATCATTCTGATAAAAACTGTGGCGAATCACTTGAGACAGAGATGAGGAAGAGTCATTGGCAAAGACCGTTTGTTGCTCAGACATCAAGTCCAAGCTTTGAGGTCCAGAGCGGTCATGCAAGCTCTCCTGAGTTTGTCCATGCCAAGTTTGTCCCTGCCTCCTCTCAGAGGGTCAAGGTTAGACAAGCGGACCGCAAAACCAAGGCTGTGAAACTCAAACGAAAAAGCTCAGACAAGCCCCGAGCGTTGAGACAGCAACACAGCTTCTCATCCGGTGAAAGAACCAAAGAGGTCGGCTTTGGAGCCAGAGGGGAGCAAAGGAGATCAGGAAAGGGGAAAGTCAGTGAGAAAGGTGGCGCCTGGCAAACACATGAACACAGACAGCGGTCCAGCTCTGAGTCCAGTCTCTACGGTCCTGGAGTCAGAATCACCCAGAAGGGCCACCCGAAACCACAGCCAGTCCCCGCTTCATCTAAGCTCAGCAAGAACCGTAGACCACAGTCCATGGAGTATGAGCATCCAGTTGAGCAACGAAGAAGGAGACAGGCAACCCCTAAATGGCAATCTGATGTGGACATTTACCAGGCACCCTTTCTTCAGCACCAGAGGTCAAAGGAGAGCATGCAGACGGTCCGGAGTCTTAAGCCAGGTCAATGGATTGGACCATCACACCCTTTCCACTTCTCCATGTCCTCCAACTCTTTCCTCCAAAGTCTGAATGCCAGGTATCCTCCAGCACCCTTCAACATGACCAGCCTCTACCCACCCAGATGTGAGTCTGAGTACTCAGCTGAGTGTGCCTCGTTGTTCCACTCCACCATCGCCGAAAGCAGTGAGGGAGAGATGAGCGACAACACCACCAACCGCTTCGGAGACAGCGAGTCCAGCCAGAGCTCCCAGTCCTTCTCTGACTCCGACAGCAACCTGTCCCTGGAAGAGGAGGAAGAAGTGGAGATAAATGAGGCGGTGGAGGGTGGGATGGTGTGGGCCGAGGCGGCGCTGGGGCCCACTGCAGCCGGGCAGCCCCTCCGACAGCTCCCATCGCGCCCCGAGCCTGCGGCCTGCCGCATCAAAGCTTCCCGAGCTCTGAAGAAGAAGATCCGCCGATTTCAGCCAGCCTCCCTGAAGGTCATGACCCTGGTTTAGATAAAAGATGCCCTGCAGCAAGAATGAAGACTCCTGGGAAAGCCCCTCTGTGTGGTGGGAACTACTTTAAAAAAATAGCTTAACCAGATCTAATGAAGTCTCTAGGACAACACCTTTAATCTGGACTGCATTCATCAAACACAAACAAGGAGATTGTATGAAAACATATATAACACTATAATCACAATTAAACTTCCTGTTAAAGGACTTATGTTGCTACAAGTGTTCAAACACATTTCTGTCTTTTGTATTTTCTTTTAGCAAGTAATTTGTTTTCTATTCTGCTTTAATTGTTCTTACATATTGCAATTATTGATGTTTGACTCATAAGAATAAACTGATATTTAATTAATGCTGTGCCGGTTTTCTCTGAGAATAATCATCCAAGTTTTTCTGTCTGTTTACAAAGCTAACAATAACGTCAAGATGTCGCCTCAGCGCTAATGCTGCAGTTTTCTTCATAAACACGACTAAAATGATCTTGTCTGGTTAACTCTTTCCCCCCTGGGTCTCTATTTATCTGCCATAATGGAAGCAATCTCCTGTTAATCTTCACAAACATCCCGCTGAGATCGGCCACTTTAGCATAGATAGCTCTCATTCCCAAAGCCTTATCTGGCTTCCTGACTCAGCTCAGCCGTTCGTTTTAATAAGCCGCAGCTTCAACAATAAGACCAGACAGTCGTGTTTAATTAGAGGGTGAAACTCATCAGCTTCCCTCATTTCCCTGCAGGCAAACATTTACAGAAAATAAACTGAAAACACACCCACTCCTTAAGAGTTTCACAAACAGACATTAGCAAGATGAGGGCTGAAGTTAGGGCCTAAAGAGAGATGCTGAAATAAAAAAATATATACTTAAAAAAATGCTTTTGCATCAGAGAGTTTTCTGTTGCTAGTTTGCATGTAAGATAAACAGGAATGTGCAGCGTAAGAACCGTTTACAGACGCTGGAATCTGATTTGAACCTTATGATTCATCTGAGTTGCGTTTCTTGATGGTTTGCCACCCAGAGTCCCACTCTTAACGGCACCACCAACATAAGAAAGGATCGAAAAAGCTTTTCTGTCAGTTAATGTATTTTTGCATAAAAAAATGCAAATATGTGTAATCATCCAGTAACACATGACTTCATGCAATAGTAATGATGTTGATTTTGGTATGAGATATAAGATGGTTTTCTGCAGTCGATCAAAGCGATGATGTCTGAACGTTTTATCATGTGGGTACAAACACTGACAGAAAGACCACACCCCCAAAAAAAGACAAAAACTTGCACTGTGAATTTGGTTTTTAGTTTAATTAAACAAACATGTCAATGGGAATGCATGTGATTAATCTAAAGAGCATCAATATTACATACTGCAGATTAATTGTATTACCTAATTGGACTTTTCCACTCAAACACAACCAGTTTACAGTCATTTTTATTTTGAGATTAATATTAGAAATGTAGAAGAAAAATTTTGGACATTTCTGAGCTCTGAAAGTCAAAAACGTGCTGAAATAAACTGAAATTTTGAAATTAATCTAAAAAAAATTTCTAGAAAAAACTTGAGAAGTTCTGAGTTTCAAAAGTTGAAAATCTTTTTGCTTTGAACATTTCCAAGTTTTCAGCAGAAATTTACGGCTACATTTTTCTATCTGTGCTGTCAAAGGTTGGAGACAATAAACATTTTCTTAAAGGTTTTTTTTTCAAAATGCATTTCTACATTTCAGGCTCTCAAAATGAAGCTTAGTGATTAATTTGATAAAAAAAAAATTTAATAGCTCGTCAAAACTAGTATATATATATTTTTTATAAATCTTTCAGCAAAATGTATTATACTTCTGTGGAAACTAAAAAGGGAACCACAGGAGAGACTCACCACCGTTGATGACGGACGATAAGAAGCTCGGCTCAGACTGGGGCCAACTGCATGAAGGGGCCCAACAGTCTTGTTTCTGAAATCTGCCCCGGCGTCTTTCCATTACGTTTCTTTCAGAGATGGGGTGAAGAAAAGGGCAGTTCTGAAGGGAGTCAGCCAAACATTATTTCTCTGGTAATAAACTTTTCTGCCATCATGAAGCTGCCATGACCTTAAAGCTCCCAACTAAGAAGCTTACAGGGCTGATTAACGCGAACATTTCATCAGATTTTCCTTTGAAGTTTGTTATGGAAACCATTATTTTAGAACTCATGAATCATCTAGTAAATCTCCCTCTCAGAATGCTTTGATTTCATAAAGAGGAGGGAGTTTTTACATCCAAATGCATGTTAATTCAGCAGCATTGTTTCCTCTCTGAATTAAAACACAAGGCAGGTCCAAAGGCCAAGCAGAAACATGAACATCAAAGACGGCTTTCGGTTTATAAAGTTGCCAGAGTTGGAAACGGCTTAAGGAGGTTCGTAGCTCCAGCTGACCTCTGTCCTCTCTGCAGGAGCGACAGCAAGCGGTCGGCAGGATTAGCGCTGTTGTTTTGAGCCCGGCTCAGAGGGAGCGGGACAAAACTGGACTTGTCTTTGATGTTGAGTAAAACCGTGTCGTTGATCTGACTTTACTACGCCTGAGGACCTCAGCCCTGAGCGGACAACGGCCCAACAAAAGAAAGAAAGGTCGGGGCATTGTTGGATGTTCCTCTCTTTTTGGGGTCTTTTAGTTTTCAGCAATTACTTTCTTTTCATTAATTTCTTAAATCTAACATAAGAAGGTGCGGCCCACCTGCTGAGTGCAACAAACGTTTTTAGTTGAGCAACAAAATTAATGAAACATGAAATAAACCTTCACCAACTGCTATGCAAGTGCACACCTGCAGATCAGATGCACTTGTGATATTCCAACAAGTGTGAAGTTGAGCGGAGAGAGCAGATTACCGCCACAATGCTCCATGAAATTCCCCATAATAGGTGTGAGTCAGTCTGGAAGTCATGTGGGATCTTATGCAAACTGCTGGCTTTCATAGTAATAAACAGTGCATGCATGAACACACATCCAATCAAGATCGTTATCACCAGACAGGCCAGAAACCGGCTGCCAACGGCGACACGGAAAGGACGACGGTTTCTTTGAGCTTCTTCTGTGTTTCCTGTTGTTTGCCTTCTTAGAAATACAGTTGCTGTCAGACGTTTACCTTTGCACGTTGTACATATGAATGCTGTGTTTATTTGGGGATTTTAATTATTTATTTGAGCCATTCTCTTTCCAAGGTGGGATGGTTACATAACATAAAGTACAATGGGGTGTTAAAAACATGGACTGGGTGAACAAGTTGAGGCATTTGTGAGCCTTTTCTTGATCAAATATGTACACATATTCACCCAAATCTCATAATAAGTGGCATTAAAGGTTCCTGAGTGAGTTATGATTTGGCAAGACCAGAAACTATTAACTTTTGATGAGTGAAGATAGTTTTTGTTTGCCAGAATCAAGAAGAAGAAACTGAGTAAAAGTCAGTGGGACTCTGAGGATCCCAGAAGAAATTCATCAAAGATTCTTGGCAATCTGTTTCTAAACAGTAGTTTCTAAGAAAAACTTGTACTTACAAGCACAATGATTTGTGCTTGTAAGCACAAGTCATTCAGTGGCTGCATTCCCATTGACCATGTAATTGCGCAATTTGACATTTGAAAAGTAAATGGAAACACAGCAATTTCGACACAACTCTAATTTTTTTTATAAAAAGTTTGGTGCAAAGATGTGTTGTATTTTTTGGCAAGTTAAAATCTGTACATTTCACATAATTACAGTTGAAGTATTTTTTTCGCTTCATACGAGTCACATGATCAATGATGCCACTGACAGAAACCATGAAGAAGAAGATGACAGGAAGTAGTTGGCAGATGATGGCACTTCTGATGACTCATCAAACATGAACACACTTATTTACATTTTAATTGTGTGTCTTATTTAATGGAAACACCGCAACTGACATTAGCAGAATATTGACAAAGTTTTGTGGCGTTTGTAAATGAAAGGCAGCTAAAAACGTCAAGACCTGTAAGAAGACCCAAGAGACTGGATGTTCATGAACCACCGCAGTGAATCAACGGACATGATGTCTGCAGACAGAGAGCTGATCAAGGTGGGGGAGGGTAATTATGAGGGTGTTTTTGGTTCAGTTGTTTTTTACATGTCCTGCCCGGCATTGTGGCACAAGTTAATACAAGATGTTATTTAGTAGTAACCGCGCCCCAATGTAGAGTGTAATTATGAGTTCAATGCGTCAACTTTTGGAGAAGACAGAGTGAGATTTGACTGTCATGCAAGCAGCACGTGTCTCTGAAGAACAGGTGGCAACGAAGAAACGTTGAAGCTCGGGTCAACAGTCTGTCGGAGTCACAGTTTTACACCGACTGGTATGAAACACCGGATTTCAATAACATGGGTTTGACATGACATGCATTTTATACTTTCATGTGTTCATGTATTTCATGAGTTCATGTGTGAATATTGATGTACATCTTTTGACCGCATTATGTAAATCCAAAATGTTGCACATGTAAAACAATAAAGATAAAATGCGACAATATAGATAAGTATAGCAAGCTTATTAGCTAGTCTGGATTGTTTTCATTATGTTTGGTTCCAAGCATTGATTTTCTAAAGGACACAATGAAATATTTGGGTTTATTTGAGTCCATTGGAATCACACCTTCCAGGTGAGTATCACTGCAAACATCACTGCTAATGAAGTCAAACCCAACTCAGCAAGAACCAAACCGGACCCTAATCAAATAGAGGGGACTGAACAATAGTTGACATTTTGACACAAACCTGAAAACTGGCTCCTGAAAACTGGCTCCTGAAAGCAGCGACTCTCCACTGGAAATCTGTGGACTGATCTTAAAATATTAGTTTGCTTAGATGAGTTTTATCATTTGGGTGAGACAAAGGCTCCTCTTTGCAGTCAGATTTGTGTTTGCTGATGCTACACACTGTGTGGTTGAGGTAGAAGTTGTGAAAACAAACTTGTAGATGTCTGTTGTATGCCGTCATTTCATCATTTCGGAGATAAATCGTTAAAACCACCAACTGAAACATCACTGCTGGCCAGGATGAGTCCATTTAAATGTCTGAACAAAGCAAAAATACAAGCCTAGCTTTCCTTACTCTCTAATGAACTCTGCAGCAGAACAGCTTAAAAATTGGAGTCAGTCTACTTTCAACACTGTAACGTGTTGCTGAGCTGTAATACAGAAGGTCACTGTACACAGCCATGCTATTTTAATCTATTCTCTCCTGATTTCCATATCAAAGCTAACCCAGAGCTACTGGAGCATTTTTCTGTAAATCTAATGAGTTTGTGACAATGCGATGTGTACAACAAGAAGACCAACGCAGAGTGGGCAAAAGAGGGACTGATACTAATTAA